TAATCATAAGGAAGAATATAACTATCAAGAACAAAACTGTAACCTTAAAGAATAGAATTATAAAGAAGCATGAACGTAACTATAAATATAATCATAAGGAAGAATATAACTATCAAGAACAAAACTGTAACCTTAAAGAATAGAATTATAAAGAAGCATGAACGTAACTATAAATATAATCATAAGGAAGAATATAACTATCAAGAACAAAACTGTAACCTTAAAGAATAGAATTATAAAGAAGCATGAACGTAACTATAAATATAATCATAAGGAAGAATATAACTATCAAGAACAAAACTGTAACCTTAAAGAATAGAATTATAAAGAAGCATGAACGTAACTATAAATATAATCATAAGGAAGAATATAACTATCAAGAACAAAACTGTAACCTTAAAGAATAGAATTATAAAGAAGCATGAACGTAACTATAAATATAATCATAAGGAAGAATATAACTATCAAGAACAAAACTGTAACCTTAAAGAATAGAATTATAAAGAAGCATGAACGTAACTATAAATATAATCATAAGGAAGAATATAACTATCAAGAACAAAACTGTAACCTTAAAGAATAGAATTATAAAGAAGCATGAACGTAACTATAAATATAATCATAAGGAAGAATATAACTATCAAGAACAAAACTGTAACCTTAAAGAATAGAATTATAAAGAAGCATGAACGTAACTATAAATATAATCATAAGGAAGAATATAACTATCAAGAACAAAACTGTAACCTTAAAGAATAGAATTATAAAGAAGCATGAACGTAACTATAAATATAATCATAAGGAAGAATATAACTATCAAGAACAAAACTGTAACCTTAAAGAATAGAATTATAAAGAAGCATGAACGTAACTATAAATATAATCATAAGGAAGAATATAACTATCAAGAACAAAACTGTAACCTTAAAGAATAGAATTATAAAGAAGCATGAACGTAACTATAAATATAATCATAAGGAAGAATATAACTATCAAGAACAAAACTGTAACCTTAAAGAATAGAATTATAAAGAAGCATGAACGTAACTATAAATATAATCATAAGGAAGAATATAACTATCAAGAACAAAACTGTAACCTTAAAGAATAGAATTATAAAGAAGCATGAACGTAACTATAAATATAATCATAAGGAAGAATATAACTATCAAGAACAAAACTGTAACCTTAAAGAATAGAATTATAAAGAAGCATGAACGTAACTATAAATATAATCATAAGGAAGAATATAACTATCAAGAACAAAACTGTAACCTTAAAGAATAGAATTATAAAGAAGCATGAACGTAACTATAAATATAATCATAAGGAAGAATATAACTATCAAGAACAAAACTAATACAAATTTCTCATCTTCCAATTTACTAAAATTCAAAATCGTTTAGTGCTGGTGTAACCCTATCTGAGGATTCGAAGAATAGTTGGCAGTGTTTTCTAATAATTGTGTTAAGTATGCATTGTACCGAAGATATTTATGCATTAAAGTGAATTTACAGAACATGTTAGAGTTTTTATTCTAATACGACGCGTTTATAGTTGCATCTGATTCCGGGTATACGACTAACAAGGGATGGAATGAATTAGTCATCTGATACACTAGCTATAAAGTTTTACCTTCGACGCATAAAGTTTTTGTTGCCCGTTACTTTCGAGTAGGTACCGTTAGTATATCAAGAAACTTATGGTTCATAAACTATGAACCACGTAAGGACGAATTATCCTGTGCTTTGAAAGTGATTTCAAAGAAATCCTTATGTCATTAGATCTGTCCAAGCTTCAAATGGCATTCTCGATCATCGTCCAATACCATTTTTCTCTGTTACATTTTCTTAAATAACGTGAACCGACAACTTGAAAATGCCGTAATCTTCTCTTCATCTTACATTTCATACTTATTTTCCTCTATACCATTTTAGAACCTTCATACGAGTAACTTCAAGAAATATTACAGCGCTGGGCATAAAGATTGTGTCGCTAAAGCATTTTTTTTTTATACGGAGTCCAACAGTGTAAGAGATGTTAGGCTGATGCGCGGGACGTGTTTCTTTGGTGCTTGAATAATTAACGAATCGTATGCACGTGAAAACTTTTTATGCATGCAGATAAAATAACGTTTCTATGTTTTACGATACCAAGAATAATGATGGATTGTACTCGATGAAATTGTACTTAAAATGAAAGCGATAGGATTTATGCAACAAGCCAGTAGTATGATACTAAAAAATATACTTTTCTAAGTTATACGAAATCTATTTTTTAAGGCCACTTAACCACTTGCCATTCTTTGACGAGTCTGACTCGTAACGAAGATTTCTAGTAATAACCTGTTAAGTATGAATGCTATTTCATTTTTTTGTAAGTCGGAATAATATGTCATCAATATTTAAGCAGTCAAGTAAATATAAGCACATGATAAATGTAAAATTTTCCTTCTCTTCTAAGAAATTATTAAAACCGGAAAAGTTCTAATTATTGTAACTGTGTAGGAAATGATACGGCAAGGGGTTGAAATTATTCTTTCTCTCCTTAAATTCGTTTTAATTAATTTCGATCGCGAAGAAGTTGCACCATAAGAACTTAAATAGCTGCCATTAAATTGTTAAAAGCGTCCATCGCACAATGGTTAACCGAATTGCTGCTAATTCGAGTTTATTTTGAAAGTCTATTTAAGAATCAACACGTTCTCTACCAAGTCATTGTTTTCAAGCGAAGTCTCTCGCAAGCCACGTGCGTCGCAACAGATATACATTGTAGACTTTGAAAAATATTTTTTCATACGATATGAAATTCTACAATTGTTCCGTTACGTTTTATCCGTCGATGGTAAAAATATCACATGGCTGAAACCAAGTTTCGTCGATCACAAAAAAAAAACGGTACTCACAACAGAAAACGTTTCGAATGAGGTCAGCGTAAGTTATTCTATTTTTGAAATCCCCTTGAACTCGAAATCAGTGTGCTTGTTGTGAAACAAGCTCTGAGCGTTACCGTCTACCTTCGCTACCATCGCGTTACACCGTTACAGTCTCCGAACTCGATTTCGCCAGGGACCCAGCGTCGAAAATTCGGAGTACATTCGTTTAACCCTCGAAATACGAACCTTCCGAGAACAACGGAGATTCGAAATGGCTCGGTGGATGCAGCAGATGCACAGCCGAAAGAAATCGTGATGCAAGAGGTTAATAACAAAAGAATAAGAATTAGTGGTCTTTGGTTTGCGTCAGATAGACCCAATTAATTTAAAGCGATTAAGATGAAACCCAACACTGACTAATGCGACGATACCGGGTCAGAACGACCCGACCTTCGCCGGGTTAATGAAGCTCACGAGTTGCGTCGCGTATTCTAGGAAAATCCGTTTCCGTCGTATCATAAATCGTTTGGCCACGGAATAACGAATCCCGACGGCACTTTCAGTGTTTCTCCTCCGTCACCGCAGATAAACGGAGACGACGTCAACCGTGATCGATTGGCCGCTGCGTATCTGATCTGGCCGTTTCGGGAACGAGATCTCTGTACGCCACCCTGTGATCCTGCACCCTACACAATGGACTCCTCTCGATTCCGTACTGCGTTCCCCAATTTAATTTGCCCAAGCCTCCAGGATTACACGCTGCAAGATTAGTGGCTTACGCATCGATCATCGAGCCTAGCCGGTGTGCATGCCTACCATCCCGAGATCAGGCGAAAGTAAACGATCCGCGCGACTGTTCATCCAAATTCGTGACAACTTTCGTCTCCTCTGACCTGAACAATGCAGTACTCTCTCTCCCTCTCTCTCTCTCTTTCTCTCTTTCTCTCTCTTTTTTCTCTCTGGCGCAATCGTTTTTTCGCTGAGTATGCCCGAGATTTCATCCGGAATAATTAAAAGCGCGCCCTTGTTCTAAAAAATATAGTGTTTACCAGGGGTGCGAGTGTTCGTTAATAGAATCACAGTAGATAAAAAAGAACAAGGTAATAAAAGTGCAAGGTAATAAAAGTCTTGCAATTAGGACTAGGACGCAGCTGAGGATCGTACTAAATTGATGAAAGTAGATTGTTTGTGTCAATATAGATTAAAAATAGGCATTGATTCGTTCGGAAAGTTGTTTCGTTTTCCAATAAAATTTCGTTTCGTAAGAATGTTAAAAATGCACTCGATTCAGTGGTTTGCCAATAAAAAAACATGACTCTTCCACGATCATAAGATTTCAAAGCAACCAGAAAAATGTAAAGAAGTTCTTACAGATACATATATCTTAATATGAAATAATTCAATAAAAATTTTGAAAGACTTTTAGAGGTGCAAAAATATTTTCTTGTTATAATCATGCTGTAGATTTTTATGAATGTGTGAAATATAGATATAAGCATTATCTCTATTACTATTATATTTTAAAGATGAATTCTAAAACGCGACCCCCTTCCATATTTCAGCATAAGTAACGTTGTGGGATTGCGTTATAATATATTATTATTAGTATTATTATTGTTATTATTATTATTATTATTATTATTGTTATTATTATTATTATTATTATTATTATTATTATTATTATTTATTATAGGTCATATAATATATAACCTCAAGTTTTAGTATTCATTTACACGTTTGCAGACAAATTAAAACTTTTGTGTGGGGTCGCCAACTTACCCCAGGGAGTCGTCCTAGAGCTCATAAATGTAACCACTCGGTCTCCGAAGAAAGTGCTGTTTACAAAAAAGATAGAATTATAATACGAAATCTGCTATTTTCGCGATTTTATAGAGAGATTTATCTGCAGGTAACGATAATCGCTAAATAATTAAATAAACAGTTAATATAGAGATTACTGTATTGCTGACACCTTTTCGTTCATTCCTGTTTCTTGTCAGAGCTGTCACGAATGTGGCGAACACATTTTACACCATTTCACTGTGAAATCGTATATTATATAACACGACGTTTGAACCTTTAACATGGCTGAGTCTGAAAGTGTTTCGTAAAACGTTTGTTGTAGATACGATCGATTCGTCATGGCGATACACAGGCAAATATGAAAGCGGTAAGGTACCCCTTAATATCAATCTAACAATCATTGTTTTGCTAGTCGAGCGTTAGATCGCGTAGCTTTTTTTGCTATGGCTTGTCCGTCGATGCAGAGGTGCGCACAGAATCTCGATCTATCTTTCCTGTCATAATCAAACAACAACACATGTTTCTGAAGCATTTTGGAAACTTGGAAACAACTTAGGGTACAAAAACAAAATTTCACTTTTCAAGACAAAACTTGTTTTCGTTATTGGCAAAAGCATTGTTATTTTTGGTTAATAAATATAATGTTCTAACTGTACTGTGGATTTCGCACATTTTCGAGAAAAGTAAGTGGGTGAATCTTCGGTATTTGCAAAACACAAGACTCAATAAAACGCAAAATTTTATGTCAAATGAAAATACATGTCATGACTACCCAAATAAAAATCGTCCGCATCAATTGCAAGAAATAGAAATTAAATAGAAAATTCATTCTTTCTTTAATCATTTTAATAGATTCAAAATCATACATTGATATTCTTAAATTCTTGTGATCGTTCTACTATTTTAAATTTCAGTTACCCACTTTGGCTATAAATGCATAAAATTCGCAGAGTCTAGTCATGACTACGAACACTAGAACTAGTCAAAATGACTGGTCTTTAATTCTTTCTTTAAGAGTTCTTAACATTATAAAAATGTTTCTATATGAAATTTTTAGATACACTTCTGTATTGAAGCATTGCATAACTCATAACTAAATTACAGTTTGTATGCATTTACAGCATTCACAAACATAATAAAATGCAGCTCGAAACAGTTTCCATAGCTATTATTATACTAAAACTTATAATAAAAGAGACAAGCTCCTATATTATTCCAGTCATTATAATCTACAATAACTCATGAAAGTGTTTATTTGCACAAACATGCGCTAATAAGAATTGTTTAATTTTCACCGCGTCAAAAATTGCTGAGATTGCTGAAATCGCGGATAATAAAAACATTTCTAACTAAATCAGCCTCGCAGATCGTTAAAGGCAACAAGCACTATGAAAATCAGGCGAACATTCCCTTGGTTACTCCGCTTCCATAGAACAGGGGACACAATCTTCCCTCAGCTCCACCACAATAAATTACAAAATTACAATCGTCTCACACACGTGTCACCAATCTCTGCGAGCAATCATAGTGTCACATTCGCGTGACGCTGCTAAGATTTAGTCCAAGATCAGTCTAACAACGTTTTATTCGACTATCCTTGTACAAATAACAGGAACCGAAGGCTCCGGTCGCAATCGCGCGACACTAACATGTCAATTTTAACCCTTTGCACTCCGCTGTCCCATCTCGCGGGACATCGTAATTCTAGCATATCACTCGGATGTCCCCTCTCGTGGGACATTAAAGTTTACTAGTGATTACGGGGAATTGAGTTATCTCAGCGCAACTTTTTGAGACATGCATGTTTCCCTGAAGTTTTCTCTTGAAATGGCACAAGAAATCAAATCAAAATATAGTAAAATTACTAAGATATATACAAGAAATGTCAGCGAGTTTTGACGAGAACGTGAGAGGCATGCTCACGACGGTCCGAGCACTTCGAAGGCGCCACTTGAAAAAAGCGATAAGGCAAGTTTGTGGAAGGAAGATCGGTATGCGAACATAGCACGCACTGTATAGTGAGATTTATAATCATAAAATCTGGAGGAAAAGATTTTCAAAGCTGAACTCAGTCTGGTTTGAAGCGTCGAGCGGTATAGATAGATCTAACGAATGAGAAAATCGGAAAAGTGATTCTTCTCTTGGTAAGTAAATTGT